GGAGGATAGAAGGAGAATTGATGCCTTTGAGCTGTGGTGCTGGAGAAGTGTATTGAGAATACCATGGGCTGCTAGGAAAACAAACAGATTTGTCCTGGAGAGGGTTAAGCCAGGTGGCTCCTTGGAGGCAAAGGTTCTGAGGCTCCGTCTAACATACTTCGGACATGTTGTGAGGAGGGACCAGTCCCTGGAGAGGGATATCATGCTTGGGAGGGTGGAGGGACAGCGCAGAAGAGGAAGGTCCTCTATGAGGTGGATTGATTCAGTAACTGCAATAATTGGGATGGGAGTGTCAGAGACAGTGCGATTGGCACAGGACAGAGCAGAGTTTAGGGCTGTTGTACACAGGGTCACGATGAGTCGCAAGCGACTCGACGGCACATAACAACAACAACAATAGCCCGTATCAGGTGCACCTTAGTCTCCAGCCTGACGTCGTTGCTCTTCAGTACTCTTGAGAGGTCCCTCACAGCCAACTTTCCCAATGCAATTTGTCTCTTGATTTCCTGGCTGCTGTTACCAAGAGTGTTGATTGTGGAACCAAGTGAACTAAAACTGTTAACTATCTCAATCCCTTCACCATCCATACTGAGGCTGCCAATTGACCCAGTGATTAGAATCTTTGTTTTCTTGATGTTGAGCTTCAATCCATATAGGAGCCTGTAGTCCTTGACCTTCTGCAGCAAGCACTTCAGGTCCTCCTCAGTTTCAGCAAGCAGAGTTGTGTCATCTCCATAACACAGGTTGTTGATGACTCTTCCGGCAATCTTGATGCCACATTCCTCTTCATGCAGCCCAGCGTCTCGGATGATCTGTTCTGCATACAGATTGTAAAGGTATAGAAACAGAATACATCCCTGATGGACCCCCTTCCTGATTTTCAACCATGTAGTGCATCCTTGCTGTGTTCTGATGACTGCCTCCTGGTCCAAGTATAGGTTTCGCATTAGCACAATCAGATGTTCTGGGATCCCATTCTTCTCAGAGTCAGCCACAGCTTGTTGCAATCCACACAGTCAGAAGCCTTTGCATAGTCAATGAAGCACAAACAGACAGACATTCTTCTGGTATTCTTTGCTTTCTGCCAAGATCCATCTAACATTAGGTATAATATCCCTAGTACCACGACCTCTTCTAAATCCAGCCTGTACATCTGCCAGTTCTCTGTTGACATATTGTTCCAAATGTTTTTGGATAATTTTCAGCAGAATCTTGCTTACATGTTATATTAATGATATTGTTCGATAATTTCCGTACTCTGTTGGGCCACGTTTCTTTGGAATGGGAACAAATATCGATCTTTTCCAGTCAGTGGGAGAGCTGGCTGTTCTCCAGATTTCTTGGCACAACTTAGTGAGCACATCCAGGGCAGTGTCTGTTGAAATATGTCAACTGGTACGCCGTCAACTCCTGGAGCCTTGTTTTTTGCCAATTCCTTCAGAGCAATTTGAACTTTCTCTTTCATCACCATAGGCTCTTGCTCATATGTCATTTAATGAAATTCTTCTGTGTCAGCCAATTCCTTCTGATACAGTGACTCGGTGTATTCCTTCCATCTTCTCTTGAAACTTCCTATACAAAATATAAAATAATGTAGAAAGTATGAAAAGAAGATAGAAAGAAAACACAAAGCCACTTTGTCAAAAATGCTCAGCCATTTTAGGAAATAGCATATGATTAAAAACCAATCTTACTAGTGGGAAAAGTTCAAGCTACTCTGAAGGCATTATTGAAAGAAAAGTCTGCAGGAATTGACAAAATACCAATTGAGGCATCTCAGCAAACAGATGCAGTGCTCAATATGCTAACCGTTCTAGCCAGGGAAATTTGGAAGGGAGTTGCTTTGTCAACCAACTGGAAAAGATCCATATTTGTGCCCAATCTAAAAGAAGATGATCCAAGCAAGTGCAAAAAAAAAAATTTGAACATCATTAATACTATAGATGAAAAAACCCTCATTGAAGATAATTTTAAAATGTCTGGAACAACATATCAACATGGAACCATCAGAAATTCAAGCTGGATTCAGAAGAGGCCATGGAATGAGGGCTATCAGAGCTGATGTCAGATGGGTCATGGCTGAAAACAGAGAATTCCAAAAAGATGTTTACTTTTGTTTTATTAACTATTAAAAGGCATTTATGAGAAGAACATCTATTTATCTTTATTGACTATGCAAAGGCATTTGATTGTATGGCTCATAACAAGTTATGACTAGCATTGAGAAGAATAGGAAGCCCAGACCTCTTAATGTGCTCATGCGAAACCTATACCTGGATCAGAAGGCTGTTGTACAAACAGAGAAAGAGAACACATGTGGTTTAAAATTAAGAAGGGAGTACATCAGAGTTGTATACTCTCTCCTTACCTATTTAATCTGTATGTTGAGCAAATTATTCAAGAAGATGGACTCTATGAAGAGGAATGTGGCATCAAGATCAGAGGAGGATTCATCAATAACCTGTATTATGCAGATAATACAACTTTACTTGGTAAAAGTGAGGAGAACTTGAAGCATTTGTTGCAGAGGATCAAAGAATGGATTCATCTTTCAATATGGATCACATCTCAATGCCAAGAAACAAAGATTCTTACATGGAACAAAAAGTAGTATCAAGATAAATGGAGAAAGGATTGAAACTGTCAACTTCATCTTAACTGGATCTATAATTAACACCCATGGTATGAGCAGTCAGGAAATCAGGAGAAGTATTGCACTGGGAAAGTTTTCAGTAAGGGACCTCTCCAAATTTTTGAGGAGTAATGATGTCAGTTTTAGGGCTAAGGTGTGTCTGATTCAGGCCATGTCTTTCAGATCACTTGCCATGCATCTGAGAACTGGACAGTAAATAGGGATGACAGAAGAAGAATTGATGTCTTTGAGCTGTGGTGTTGGAGAAGAGCACTGAACAATCCATTGATGGCCAAAAGATCAAACATATGTCTTGGAGAGGATGCAGCCAGAGTGCTCTTTGGAGGCAAGATGATGAGGCTTCGCTTCAGATACTTTGGACATGCTCTGAAAGGTGGACAGTTGGCAAAGAAGAAGAAGGCCCTTGATCAGGTGGATTGACATGGTGATTGCTGCAATAGGTTCTCATGTGTCAGAAAATGTGAGAATGGCACAGGATAGGACAGAGTTCAGATCTGTTGTTTATAGGGTCACTAAGAGTTGCACTCGACTTGCTGGCACATAACAAAAACAAAAGGCAATTGAGTCTATGGTCCACAATAAAATATGGATAATACTGAAAAGAATGGCCATCCCAAAGTACTTACCTGTGCTTATGTAAAACTTTGATAAAGACCCAGAGCAATTATTTGAACATAACAAGGGAATCTTGTTGTAGTTCTTTTATACTGTGGAGTCAGAACCAACCCATAGTGGACCCTCCGGCGTGTTTTCAGACAATAAATCATATTGAAGGAAGTTACACAACTTTTTCTGACAAAGTAGCTGGTGGATTCAAACCATGTACCTCTGTATTGGCAGCAAAATTCTTTACCACTAAGCCACCAGAGATCCCTAGGGATACTGTTATTTTTGTTGTTACTGTATGTATCATGAAGTCACCCACAATTCATACTGACCCTATGTACAATCTCTAGACAACAGAGAACTACCAGAAGCCCAGGCTGGTTTCAGAAGGGGTCGTGGTACTAGAGATATTGTAGCTGATGTTAGATGGATCTTGGCTGAAAGCAGGGAATATC